GCTCTCTACATATGAACCTTGTGCCATTGCACAGGCCTTCAAGAGGATTTAGATTTCTCACCAGTATAATTGGACAATTTTCTTTTAACATTAACCTGTGAGAAGGAAGACCTTTTGGATTCTGAAAATTAAAGAAATCCTCATAATCACCCTAGTGCCGTGGATCAATAGTTTTGTCTAAACTAATATAAGTGTGAAGCTTTCCAAGAAACCTTCTAATCATTATATTATTGAGCTCGTCAATTGAACTACTTTTAAGGTCAAGAATACATCTATTGGTCATAGTATATGGATTTTGGGAATAGAGAGCTAAATATAGAAAAACACAGTGTAATAACCTATTAATAAAGAAGTTAAATTAGAAATTGTACATGTTAAAAGTTAGACATATAAAACAAGGAAATAGTAAGTCATTTAACATATATAAAGTTTCTTCTCTATCGTAATAAAGAATGACTAAATCTCTGGATAAAGTTATTTCACCGTTCAAGTCAACAGGTTAATTTCCTTCGCCAAGTCTTAAAGAGAATTTAGAAAATTGAGGATATCATATAGCCCACATATTTTCTGTCAACTTCAGTTTATGAAGCTTAGACCACAACGGAGAATTGAGAAAGCATGACTGCAAAAGGACTTCCTTTGTTGCTTGCTCGATCATAGGTAGTGTCTATCGAAAATCCCTACCAAATACAACAACTTTGCCTCTAGTAGGTAGATCAGATTCCATTATGTCTCTAAGTAAATCATCAAATGCCTTAATAGTTTCTTGTTTAGCCATGAAATCCTCATCCCATAAGATTAGTTTAAACTCTAAGAGCAGCTTTGCAACATGCCTTACTAAGCTGGCAGGTTTTGTTCTTTAAAAATCAAGGGGTATCTTAAACCTTGAGTGTAAAGTTCTTCCTCGAAGAGAAATAGATGCTGGAATTTCAGAGGTCGCCACTGCAATGGCTATATGACATTGCGATATCAAAGGAGCAAGCAACAACCGGTATAAAAATGTTAAAAAAAGAATGTCCTTATGAAGAGAAACATACTTGTAGGATCAAGTCATAAGCATACTTTTGCTGGGAATTGAATTTCAATGACATCAGTAGATTTTTCGGCCGTATGTCTATGTTTCTTTCAGCTTCTATTTTCTTTGTTAGGTGTGCTTGATCTACATTTACAAGATCATTTGATGGGATGCTTGTACTTATCTGTTGAAGACTTATCTGCTAGAATCAATACCCTAATTTCAGTGGGAGGGTAATCACGATATTGTCTATGCCGCTCATAGTCTCTAGAGAAGTCAAATTCAAAATTTTTCCATAACATTATGGGATCAATTGGAGAATCATGGACCAAAAGAGTAGCAAATAACAATCTGAGTGAACATGGCATCTGAAATGCAGCGGCTTCCTCAAGTGTTTCTTCTATATATGTATCAGATTGCAATAGCCCAAGCGCTAGAATAGCCTCTCTGAATGACTTCATCTTTCTATCGTTGACAGTCAAGAGATCATCGAATGAAGTCGGTCCAAGAATGTAAGTTAAGAGAAGTCTTAGATAGTACCTCTTTCCCTCTTTGGATTAACACTAACAAGTTTACCTATTACCTTTCAACACTTCCTTTCTGTCCAGAGCTTATCTTTAGAAGATCAAACACAATGCTAAGGAAATCTCTATAAAAGCATTTAAGATTTTTAACTGTTGCATTGGTTGTATTCATTTTGAAAAACTCAGTTAACATGATTTTTGAAGAATCTGCTTTTTCTAACGATTGCAACAGATCTGAGTTCATGTCAAAAGACACAAGTTGCTGACTTGAAAAGTGAACTTGGAAAGCATAAATAGCTTGGGGTCATGTCATTAAAACAGAACTCATAGATTTATCAAAATGCTTCGGAGGTGAAACATATCTATCTTTCTAGAATTCTTTAATCTCATCAATATTAACAGTGCTATCATCTGTCAGAATTCTAAAGCAGACCAAATCAGGCCCTTTAAATACATACTTATACAAGTACTTGACAAGCTTAATGATAGAAGAAATCTCTACATTCATGTGCCAATTGAATACAGTAAGAAGATAAGGGTTGTAAGGCACCACTCACCTATTATCAAGGGTAAATCTGTGCACTTTCACTCTTTTGTCATCATTCCTTCTTCTATAATATGGGTTACTGTCTTCAATATGAGTTGTACAGGGGCAAAAATTATTTAGAGAATGATTCTTGCATGCACCGTCTTTCATACAAAGACAAATTTTATCCATATTTGCAGACCGTAGATCATATGTTTTACAACAAGAGAGTACATGAGAAAATATTGAATACGATCAAATAATTCAACACAGACCATTCTGTCATATGACTCTTGATTAAGTAACTTAAATTGAGGTTTTAAAATGAGCAGTAAATGAGCATGTGGAAATCCCCATTTTTAAAACTCAATGACATAGACACATCTTGCGACCTCACCAAAAATCTGCTTAATCGAAAGTTCATACTTAAGCATTTCAAATTTAACTCTAAAAACACCAACTAAAAGATCAAGTCTATCCTATGGCTTCTCATGATACTTCAGATTGGATTGAATTTCTTTTCATGCTTGATTGTAGATCATGGTAAGAAAAATTTTTAATTTATCATATTTTTGTATCAGTGTCATTGCATCAAGATAGCAATGTCTCATGTCCCTGGGACCACTTACAAAGAAAGTAGGTAACACTATCCTGTTGTCACGGATTGCCTGAATTCCTATAAGCACTCGCACATGCAGCACTAACAGTTGTCCAAGACTCTAGCTATGAAAGCCTTGCTAGTTCAGCCTAAATACCTAAGTGCGGGAGAGTTGTGCAGAAGTGTAAAAGTAGTAGATAAAGAGAGAAGTGTTGCAAGTTAAGGAAAGCTTGTATTGCTCTTGAACAAATGTTACAAAGTGTTTTACAAATGAGGGGGTTTGGCATTTTTACAGGCAGGCCAAGAAAGCCATACAAAGTTCTAGAAAGCTCTACACATATTTTCTTACATTTAGTCTTTAGAAGTTTTTATACAAGCCTACACTCTCATATACAAGCTCTGGACTTCTCCTAGAGCAATTTGGAAGCTTCAAAGGCTTGCTACACACTTCTACTATTGTTTGGAGTTGCCTCCATGCTTTGGGTAAGCCCCATGACTTGCCAAATACTTGAGGGAACAGGGTATGGGTCTACTAACGGTCATAATTTTTCTGTCAGGACATTGTATACTGTAGTGCATGGTTAGGTTAGTCAGGCATGGTCGCACGCAGTTAATATGTAGACAATGTCATCTTCCTCCACTTGAACGAGACATCATCCCCGATGCCTAGCTATCCTCATACACTCGTATGAGGTTTTCAAATTGTCACAACTTTTTAGTCAGTTTCCAACTAATCTTAGTCTCGAATAACCCATGCTATCGCACCAAGTACTCTTTAGATGGTGCGCGGTTCTTGTGTTGGACGATATAATCGGCAATGATCTCCTCGGCAACCTTATCGTATTCTTCCCTTATAGTGCACGGGTGCCCTCGTTGACATGTTCTTTGACAAATCGTGTAAGTCTTGACAGAATGGATTGAATAGGCTCACATGAAAGACTGATTGTAGTTGGGATAGGACATCAAACAACTCCATCTTGTAGGCCACATTTCCTATCCTCTTTAACACCGTAATGGTCCTTTATATCGTCGTATTAGACCCTTGTGCACCCCACAAATATGTCTATATTGGTAGAGTTTCACCAACACTTGGTCCCCCTCCTTGAACTCGCGGAACCTATGTTTACGGTCGGCCCACTTCTTCATCTGCTATTGGGCTTTTTTCAAATAAAACTTGGCCATTTTCATGCATTTTTTTGGATCCATGACAAACCGGTATGCAAGAGGACTCGCATCCTTATAGCTACCAACAATATCTTCGGGTCGTCGGCTGAAATTCAAGGACAATCTCAAACAGACTCTTGTCGATGCTCTCATTCTTTTGCAAATTAAAGTAGAATTGGGCAACGTCCAATAGTTTAACCCAATTCGCTTGGTTCACCATCATATAATGCCAGAGGTAGACCTCTAGCATGTTGTTTACACGTTCTATCTACCCATCCATTTGTGAATGCATTGTTGTTGACATGTTGAGTCCCGAACCAAGCAAATGGGATAACTCCATCTAGAACCTGTCTATAAACTGCGAATCTCGATCGCTAACGATTATTGCCTGCAAGTCCCAATACTTGAGGACATGGTCCATAAAGAGTTTCACCATCACTTCAGCCGTGCGCTCCTTTAGGACGGGAACGAACGTAGTATATTTGAATAACCTATCCATAATCATGAATATGCTCGTACACCCCTCTGATTTCAATAACCCGACTATAAAATCCATAGAAATGCTCTCCCATATTTTCCTCAGGATTGCCAGCGGTTGCAATAGTCCAACGGGCGACTCGTTTTCTACCTTATCTTATTGGCACACTAGGCAAGTCCGTAGGTACTCGTCAACATCGTCTCTTAGATTTGGCTAATAATAACATTCTCGTATTAGGGGCAACGTGCGATGAGTGTTTGGATGACCAGCATACCGATTATTGTGATATTTCTTGAGAATGTCCCTTCTCAAGTATTCCCAGTCGGACTCGTAAATCCACTGGCCTTTAGTATAGAGGATCTCATCCTCCATCCAAAATCTCTTCGTTTTCCCCCGATTCGCTAGGTTTATGAGTGCTTGCACCCAATCGTCATGCTACAGTCCCTCCTTGATATGCTCGACGAGCAGTCTATTGATCGTGTATGTGGGTGCGACAACGCTTTTGTGACTTTGGGCATTGGTCACGGCATTTGTTTTGCCTGGACTACACTCGAGTTCGTATTTGAATTTTACTAGGTAGTCTAGTCATTTTACTTACTTGTTTGAGAGCTTCTTTTACAACTGATGGTAGTTCACCGTCTTATTATCCATTTTGATCTTGAATAGTGTGATGGTCTTGAGATAATGCTCTCAATTCATAAACAATACACGACCTCTAATATTTCCTTCTCATGCGTCGGCCACCATTTTTCTATGTCGCTAAACATATGATTCTCATAAGTAATAAGGTGATCGTCTTGCATCAATACACCACCAAAGGCTAAGTCGGATGCTTTGGTGTGCATCTCGAACGATTTATCAAAATTGGGCAGTGTCAACACCACCTCCTTCATCACAGCATCCTTCAACGTCTTGAATGTTGCTTGGTACTCGGGTGTCCACGTCCATGTTTTGTCCTTGCATAGTAGATCGGTTAGCAGAGCAGCTAATGAACCATCGGTACTAGTTCACTAGCCCAAGAAATGATTACAAAACTTTGGATGTCTTTGGTGCCTCCCAATCCACGATGGCCTTGATCTTTTAGGGATCCATATGAATCCGTTCGTGCCTCACGATATGTCTTAAGAAGGAGATTTCACGTACACCAAACTCGTATTTCTCCTTCCTCACGTACAATATGTTGGTCCATAATGCTGTGAACACTTGACTCAAGTGGCGACCATGCTCCTCCAATCTATTAATATATAGATGACGATGTCGTCGAGGTAGACCACGACGAACTTGTCTAAAAACTCCTTTAGTACCTCTGACACTACATGGCAGCTACGTTTGTCAATCCAAACAACATCACGTTGAATTCGTATAACCCATACCTGGTGGTGATAGCCATTTTGGGCTCGTCCTCTGCTTTAATCCTCACTTGATAATATCCCTTGCATAGATCAAGTTTGGACATGATCTTCGATGATTGTAGATGGTCGAATAAGTCCACGATTAGGGGCACGAGATACTTGTTTTTCACCGTCATCTTGTCGAGTGCTCGATAATCGTTGCACATATGCAAGATGCCATCTTTTTTGGTTGAAAGAGTACGGGTATACCAATGGGGCTCTTGGAGGGTATAGCATTAGACTCCAAAAGTTCTCCAAATTGCTTCTGTAATTCCTCCAACTTCTCGGGCGACATGTGATATGGCAAATAGGAGACCGGTTTAGCGTCTTCCACCAACTTTATGGCGTGATCCACAGTACGCTAGAGAAAGCTCTTTTGATAGGTCCTCGTGCATCACATTTTCAAATTTCGCTAAGATTTTCTCGATTTCGAGCAAAATTGGTACCGTTTCTTTAGACTCACATGTCGGCGAGTTTTCTTCATTAAGGATGGCCGCAAACATTGGTTCACTCATTCGCAAGCCCCTCTTAAGTTGACGGGAATTCAACTCCTTCTCACGACATACGTTCGCTATGCACGGTTGGCCTTCTTACTTAATGAGTATTGTATCTTCATGCGGCACCATTATCGGTTTCAAGTAGTCTATGAAACACATGTCAAAGAATACCTTATAATCGTTAATCAGGACAATAGAGAATTGGCCATACTTGTCCATTAACCCATGCTAATGGGTACTTCCTTGATTTCACCCATAAGCGATGTCTACTCCCTGTTCACGTCCTTGAAGTGACTTGACGATGGTGCCCATGTAAGCCCCATCTTGCATTCGACGCCTTGACTCATATAGTTGACGTCTGCTCCCGTATCAATCAATGTCATCACTTAGTATCTATTGATGTCAGCATTTATGTACATACACTCTCTATCTTGATCGTCGACTTTGGCATGCACGGCTCCCAGTAGCCGTGTATATGCAACCCTTCGTGTCTCCATTGGGTCTGCTTCTTGTGTGACGGTTGCTAAACTACTACAGCGTAGACATTTACAAGCATAGTGTTTCTTACTCTTGCGGATGAAGCACCTTTCGAAATTTTTTCCCAACTTATAGTTATTCACGTGCTTCCCCTTTTGTGATTTGTTGCTGTTGATGTTACCCGACCTCTGGGCAAACCTTGACTTGTCTTTCCCACTCTTTATGTTGTTCAGTTTCTTGCCTTTGTCCTTGGTTGGTTCTTTCTGTTGAAACTCTATCAGTCTTTACGCAATTTTTTATGGCTTGGGAGATGTTTTGTGGGTCCTTGGCTTCCACTTGTTATTTAGCCCATGGCCTTAGGCTATTTAGAAACATGAACAGCTCGTTTTCGAGTGCCATGTTGGGGATTTCCAACAACAAGTTGGAGAACTTATCGATATACTCTTTCATATGCTCGTCCTTATGTTGGAGATGACAGAATTTGGCCCTTGCCTCATGCTCGACATTGATCGGATCAAATTTGACCTTCAACTCGGCCTTGAATGTGCGCCGCATGTGGTAATGGCGCCGTCCCCACGATACCCTTTGTTGCACTTCCGTCTCCACCGTATTAGTGCGAAATCCTTAAGATATAACAGAGTCATCCTCAAGCAAGCATCATCTCTCATGATACCCAGGGTCTCGAAGTACCACTCGAACCCGTAGAGAAAATTCTCAATTTCTCATGCCTCTCTCTCCTTTGTAAGCTTCTGGATGTGGACGTCTACCCTTGGTGTGGTTACGGTAGCACCTATTGTCTCTTGCGCTGTAACATGTTAATCTCAGCCCTTAACTTGGTAAGCTCCTACCAAATGTCTGATGACTCTCCCATGGGCACCCTAACACCTTGTGCTAGTTGAGTTTTGTACGACTCCAACTCACCCTTGAGTTGGACGACCTTCTCATGTAAAGAGTCAACTGAGTCCCAAATAGCGTCGTTCCTCTATACTAGTTGGTCCATGGCCTCATTGAGCACACTTTGCATGCCCTCACCATCCAGGTGCTCCATGCATTGGTCTAGCTCCTCCCACCGGTTGTGATGATCAGTTACGATTAGCTCTACTCTTACTAACCTTGATTCCAGGGCCGTCATCGGGTTTGGCATGGCCAACTTGTCTCTCTTGCCCTTACCACTAGTAGGAGCGGCCCTATCTGGCTTTCTTGCGACATGCTCCTTATGTGGTTCCTTTGTGACATCTGAATCTGTTGCCATCATTCCATGGCTTTGTGATGGTATCAAACTTTGATACCGCTTATCATGGGTTGCCTAAATTCCTATAAGCACTCACACTGTGCGGCACTAGCAGTTGTCCAACACTTTAGCTATGAACGCCTTGCTAGTTCAGCCTAAACGCCTACACGCATGAGAGTTGTGAGGAAGCGTAAAAGTAGTAGACAAAGACAGAAGTGTTGAAGGCTAAGGAAAACTTGTATTGCTCTTGAACAAATGTTACAAGGTGTCTTATAAATGAGGGGGTTTGGCCCTTTTATAGGTAAGCCAAGAAAGCCATACAAAGTTCTAAAAATCACTACACTAAGTCTTCCTACATTTAGTCTCTAGAAATTTCTATACAGGCATACATTCTTATGTATAAACTTAAGACTTCTCCTAGAGCAATCCAAAAGCCTCTAAGACTTGCTACACACTTCTACTAGTGTTTGGAGTAGCTTCCATGCTTTGGGTAAGCCTCCATGACTTGCCAAGTATTTGGGGTAATAGAGTGTGGGTCTACTAGCAGCCCTAGTTTTTCTGCCAAGACACTATATACGATAGTGCATGGTTGGGCCGTCCAGACACGGTCATGCATGGTTGATGTGCGGACTGTATCACTATGACCAACTTTAGAACCTTTAATTTGGCCTAAAGAGACACTGTCCAATACCTCTTGAAGAATTTCTGACCTAACTGCATTTTATCAATATCTATGAAAGTCTAGCATAGAAGTTTCTATCTTAACATAGGAATCAACCGAAAATTATTGTAACAGTTTAAGGTAGTGCAACAACATTGACTCATCACTATCTCTTATTTGAAACCTAGAACAAAAATACTCTCTAGCTGATACTGTGTCCTCTTCATTCTTTCCATGATCGAGAATTGTATAGAACAAAAGAAAACTGTGAAACTAAAGTAGAAAAGGTTATAATGTTCACACCTAATAGCTACAAGCAGCTGCATTCCAAATCAAGCAAATGTGAGGGGTCGTCAAGAAAACAAGGATCAACATATAAATCACCCTCAGAAGAATCCCCATTTCTCTTCCACTTGCAAAGTATCATGGTGCCATCCACATTCAACCCGAGAAAAGAGAATAAGGTATTGCAAAGGATCACAACAATCATAGTAATGCTTAACTCTATGGCTGGTATTTGACTGCGTATAAACTTGAATATGAACATTTCTATTTGCTAATTCATCATTATTCTAAGTCCATATGATAACGACTTGCAAAGTAGTAGGCAGATTATAGATGCGCTAGTCCAAACTAGGATAACAATTGAGCACAATTTTATAGCTGCCAATGTTTGGGACATTTCTAAGATCCTTAAAAAATAGCAAAAGGATTGTTCGAAAGGGTACACATGAACAATCTTAAAGTGCTTTCACGCAACTTATTAGAACTTCCAATCCTTTGTGCTAATTTTTCATTAATATGAAATTCCAGATGGTTTTTCACTTGACTGCATCAAACTGTTAAGAAAGTGGTAAACTTGACCTTGAACATGAAAAGTATAAACACCTTTTATGTTCTTGGTTAGTTCTGGATCATATTTTGTAGTTATAGGATCGAAAATTGTTTTTGAAATGAGCACTTTCCTCATCATTTTTAATAAATAGACATTTAAGATCATAAGGCATTGACGAAGCCACAATAGAGATGTCTCCTCCAGAGCAGCAAAAGTTAGGAGATTCCAAATAAAACCTTTTGGCTCCACAATGCACACAATCAGGAGCATCTGCGGAGTCAACGCGTCATGAGGGATTTCATCAATTTGAAAAATATGCCGCTGCCTTCCCATTTTAGGAGTAGCTACATTTATTTTGAAATTCCAGCTGAGAAGTGAACTAAGCTGTGCCCCTATCAAGATAATTAATAATGGCATCTAAAAAGGGTCAAAAAAGCTATTGAGAAATAAAATGCCAACCCGAAGTCTGCTTCTCACATGCTGACGAGAACAACAACTTTGACCAAAAGGTTGATCTATATATGAGAAACGAGAAGAGCGGTCAATTCTTTTTGCTTTCCTCACAGAACCACTTTTCTCAAGACATTCAATAGACTCCCTCTCCTAAACAGAGGAGGTTTCTGCAACTGTATAAAGGAATAATCTAATAAAAGGGGCTAATGCCATTTCAATGTATATAATTAACATGTGGTGGGAACTAAAGAATATTCAGGTAGTTAGTGCTAAGAATATTTGTTGTTTGAAAAGACATACCTTGAGAAGCAGACGCTGTTTCAGAAGTTTGTTTCTCAAGGGGTGGGATTTTTTTTTCAAATGTAATTGTTTGTGCCTATCATTGAAGAAAGACTGCAGTTGACCAAAGTTCATATAAGCCTTGGCCAAAGAAGAGTACTCAAAAACATTTTCAAAATGTTCATGAGCAAGGAAAGGATCTTTGTCAATGCAAGAAGGCTGCACAGGCCTATCAGGACGATGAGAAAAACTACTGGTCTTGTCAACCAACACCATAGGTACCAAGTAAGCAATTCCAATTCCAGAATTTTGCTTATCAAAAGATACATCTTTTTTCTGTAGAAATTGATTTGCATGAACAGTAGTTACGAGAGAATACAACTCTTTAGAGTTTATAGAAACATGAGTTGAAGAACAATATGCAATTGGATTTTCAAAATGATCATGCATAAGTAAATCTTCTCTATCAAAGTAAGGAGTTTGGATGACATTATTAGAACGATCAAAGCAATATCTTGATCGATTATGCAACATTATAGGTATAGAGTTCCTATTCTTTCTCCTAGGCACACGAAAATCAGGCTCGACAGTAGAAGAAGGGAGGTTCAAATTTTTTCTTTTTTCAAGAAGAAATTTTCCTTGACAGCTCCTAAGATCAGCGTTAATAGTTAGTGGAAACTCTGCGAGTTACAAATGAAGACACA